AAAGATGCGCCAGCGATCGAAGTGAACGTCTTGTGATCACGTGACTTCGGCTGCAAAGACTTATGAACGGAGAAGGAATGGATAAGTTTTAGACAGATGTGTCCGTGCCACTCCCTCATGCCATTTGTGTCCTTTGCTGGCCATAGCAAGGAATTGCATTCGAAGATGCAATCTCTACGATGATTTGCGAAGCACAACTCCTGCTGCAGCTTGGCGAACATGGAGTTTGAGAATGGTCTGGAATAATTCCCGTGCTGTGCCAAGGAGAGGGCGATTCATCGCTGAGTGGGCCTGGGTGGATGTAGTGCTGCCACGCGACCGAGCAAAACGTGTTGTCCCGGCTTGCTTTTTGGCTAGGTGCAGTGTCATGATGTGTCATGCATGAAGTTTGCGGCTTCGAGTGTGCTTCTCTTGCCTTTGTAAGCTTGCTGTCTGTGCAGAGCATCTTGCTCGAGAGCCAAAGTTAAGGGCTCGGGGGGGCTGGGCGCCATGGCGCACAAGTCCAACCCGTACAAGAAGGCTGGGCTGGGCTGGTGTGGCGATGTACACTTGGTTCAGCTCTACAGATGTCAAGGCCCGCTCGAAGTTCCGATGGAAGTGGAAGAAGAAGCGCACCCGCCGCCTGCAAAAGAAGCGCCGAAAGATGCGCCAGCGATCGAAGTGAGGACGTGAAGTTGCCGCTTGCATTGCAGCAGAGAATGCTGGCACAACAGAATGCAGCAGGCAGTAGAAAAGCGTCTGGTAGCCAAGGATAAGAGACGCAAGGCTGTTGAGCGCGTGCTTCTGCCAGCATGTCGCATGACTGCATGTTTTACCTTATCCTTCATTGCATGGTATCCATGTCCGTGCCGTTCATTTTTGTTTTGCAAGCGAGGTCTGCCATCGTCATGTTCCCTGGCTGCTGCGGAGTGCCGTCTGAAAGCGGGGAGAGTGGGGTTCTGCTGGCGGGATGGCCTATCAAGCGACGGAAAAGAGGCGTTTGCACCTGTTGCTGAGGATGCAAGAGGAGCTTTGTGAAAATATCTTGGTTGACAAGTGCAATTCAGACGTTCTAGTGGGGAGCGGTGCCAGGCAACTAAATGTCGGTCTTGCTCCAATCAGCAAATCCAAGCTGCCAGCATGGAACTGCAGGAGTGCGATTTGGATCTCACGGTCTTGCGCTACTGAGTCCGAATTGTTTCAAGGCAGCAGTGAGCTTACACCAGCTGGCTAATATGGCTGCAGTTGGCAAGCCTCTGTGATGCTGCTACAAGCATGAAAGTTCTGAGCTTGACAAGGCCTTGATAGGCGAACCTCTGATTGTGAGCACAGGCTCCTTGGTGCAACCTGGGCTTGCTCTTACTGCTTAAGCTTCTTGCTTCTTGGAGCCCAGCAGAAACTTCTACGAGTCTTAGGGATGCACGCAACGGTTTGGCCGGAGAAGCTTGAGCTGGCTCAAAAAGTAGTGGACAGTCGTCTCCACGTGGCAGACATGGCATTTTCCGTAGCTGTGCCCATCCTCAACTACCAATCACCATCGTTTTGAGGCTTTAACCACTTTAGGTCCAGAACTGCAAACCCACATACACAATCTTGAACATCATGTGGTGCAAGTGTTGCGTGTCCGATCAGCAGGACCTTGGCTGCAGACCAAGACTGTTGATCTTCCATGTGGAACATGATCCACCATTGCGTTTGTCTGCCAGGAGGCCATCGTTGAAGTGGCGCCCCTCGAAGTATTGCGTCCAGCAGCGAAGCCGGCGCAGGCTGCACACCTAGTTCCAACTGTCACTCAGCAGTGACCAGTTTAGCCAATGTTTGCAAGAAGGACGAGCAAGCAGCACTGGCAGCGGTCATCAAAGAAGAAGCGACTGTGGTGGACAAGGCCGAAATTCCTATGCGGTGGGTTGTAGATGTGGCTCCATATTCTTTGTAACCAAGTATGCAGAGCCTGCAGAGCCGGTTGGCACAGGCACCAGCAGTGGCAGAGGCCACTGTCGCTCTGGAGGCTGGCTTACTGAGTCCAGGAACACGAGCTTGCCATGAGAGCAGGAAGTAGAGGCTCCTGTGCCTGCACCGCCTGCAGCTCCAGAAGAGGAACCAGTGTTTGTCTATCACCTGCTCTTTCCGAAGCCGCTGTTGATGGTGAGGAGCACAAAGCTGTTGTCAACAACCGCTTTACTGTCGCATTGGAGGCTGAAGGCAAGTGCAGCAAGGGTGATCTGCACAAGCTGGGAACACACGGAGAGTGCAGTACATCACTCCCGCAATAGCCCTCATTTTGAAGTTGCCGTGCTGAATCGTTGCACTGTGCGTGCTCGCGTCGCTCATTCGCGACGTGGGAGTGGGTCGTTTCACAACATTCGGCATAACAAGCTACAGGCTTGGCGTCTAGTTCCTCACATGAGTCGTGTCTTAAACGGGGAGAATACAGAGTAGGAGTTTATCCTCATTCTGAAGCACCAAGAAATCCTTCGACCCCATTAGTTCTTGATCTCCCAGCTTGATTCCTTCCTGGATTGTGCTGACAATCTCTTGCGCTTGTTAGCTCCTCAGCTTCCTTTTTCCTTGTCAGGTTTGGTTTCCTGGTTGCTGATGGGTTTGCTTTGTTTTTTTCTCGCACCATTGTCGCATCAGTTCTTGGCTGATTCTCCTTGAATTCACATAGGCTCCCCGTACTGCGCACAGTGAACCATGTGTTCCATGCAAGTATGTGACCATGCCGTGCAGGTGACATTGGCCTTGTCCTCGATGACTTGAGTGAACAAGGTTCAACGGGGATGGTAGATGGTAACGAGAATAGCTCTGATGATTCTGTCATTCTGCTGCTGGAATACGCCTTGACGGGCATGACGACATTTTGTAGCTATGGAGATTGAGAGCAGACGTCGGTATGCAGGTCCTGTGGTTGCGGACATTCAGAAAGGGCTCGTGCAAGACATGGGCTTGCAGTCCCCAGACCTTGCGCTTAGGCAGTACGTTCCTCGGACGCAGAAGTGCACTACTTGCGCCCAATCCGTACCATAGTTTGAGATTGATTGTGTGTGCTTGCGGTCCTAAGGATTGCATCACGGCTGTCAACGACGTCGAGGGTGATGTGACCTGGAGCATTAAATAGACAGACGCGGGCCGTCAATCTATCAAGGAGCCTCATGCTCTAGCCGGTGCAAGCCCGCACATTTTCGCACAGGTGGGCTACATGTGCGAACTCCTTGAAGCACCTACAAAGGCACGTACTGTCTTGAAGGTGCTGCGGCCAACAGATGCTTGGGCTAGTTTTTTCTGTCATTCCTGGCAAGTGTCGGCATCCCTCCGATATGCTCATTCATGGAGAACGGCATCTTAGGAAATGCACATCTCCTTTAAGAAGTCGGGAGAAGAGCCTCTGGGAATCCACATGAACTTCAAGACCTCCTCTGCAGGGTCCCTTGGATTTCAGTGTGTTGGGCATTGGTACATGTGGAAGTGGTAGGGCAGCAGCAGAACGCGTGAAGAGAAAACATCTTAGGATTGTGCTGGAGCAGATCAAGGAAGGAGGCTGCTTAGCGAAAGCCCTATAGAAGCCCTATGTAGCCTCTATGTATATATACATATGTACATCTATACCTACCTATGCCCTATATAACCCCTATGTAACTTCAGAGCCGGAATGCTGTCAAGGTTTTTTATGGAGCACAAGCTGAGGACAGTTTGACCGACACCTGGCCTCGTTGCCAGAGGTGGGCTTAAGGGCTTCGAAGGGAGGGACAGTGGAACAGAACGTGGAACGTAGCATATTATAATAGGGGTAGAGGATAGTACTTAGTACCCAATAATGGGGAATCAAATGGCAAGGAACATGGACATTACGTGGAAACTGGATTTATGCAAGGGTTTTGTAGGGCTCCCGCTTGAGAGGATCCTTGATTCTGGCCTCAGGATGCACGTCTCAGACCTGGTGACCGCATCATTGCCATCAACGCCCTTCGTTTGCGAGGCCGGCTAGGGGATCATGAGATGTGAGTGATATGCATGTGGCCTAGATTCTAAATATTGTGTCTTGACGCTGGCGGGTGGATCATGGATCATCGGCCAGATGTGTCCCTTCTCGCAGGAACTGAGCTGGTCGAGACTTTGAAGAAGGACTCTTTCAAGAATGTGATGTCCGAGTAGCGGGTCAAGACATAATTCCAGCTCTCGCACCTCTCTGCCTTCTCTTCAGCGGTTCTTGTTGATTTTGCTGTCCTTCTCCTGCTTGCGAGCTTTGCCATTCCAGGAGGTGAACCTGGAGCTGACAGCCCTGCGTTACTGACCTCAGGTTTTCTATGACAGCTCCGGCGAAGGTGCCTGACAAAGCGCATCCGAGCCCATCATGTGTTTTTCCTGCAAGCTGCGCACCGGTGCCAACTGTGGGGAGAATTTGGCTGTTTCTTGCCAAGTAGCCGCCACACAAAAACACAGGCGTTCCAGAAGCTGTATGCTGCAGGTTGTTGAACTTTTGTAGCTGGATCACGTTTCAGATTTTGTAGGGCGCTCTTGCCTTGAGAGGTGCGCAAGACATGGAGCTGCTTGTTGGAGGGGTCGTTCGAGTTTCCCAACGTGGTCTGTCTAAAATCGCAGCTGCGACTAAGTCGCTGAGCTGGCTCCGTGGCCCAAGCGCGGCTGCAGAGCTTGTTGATCATTATGGTCTTCCAACTTGCTAAGCAGGTTGCTGAGCAAATGTGCGTGGGTTCTGCAGGTGTTGGCCACAGACCTTTCCGGAGTTTCAGCTTGAATTGAACAAGGTAGCCTCACCTCTGTCCACATGATGAGCCAAGCCACAGACGGGTTCTACCGTATGCTCTCGTTCTCTGATGCTGATGCTGTCTCTGGTGGATCGTGCTGTTAAGGGACCCTACTTCCAGATGTTTCCAGGAGGCTGCTTGTAGCACCATGCCTTCTGTATTGTGAACTGTAACTGCAACTCAAGATTGAGAGCACCTTCCTGTCAAGCTCCATGTCTACATACCAAGCATCCCAGAAAAGTTCCTTCAACACCAAGCCTTCTCGACTCATGAGCTGCTGTTGCGGAGCGGAGGAAGAGGACCAGCCAGTTGGGCTGAGTGCAGAGGGCTTCGGATTCCTTTGGATCCAGGAGGTGCTGGAGGATGCGCCCGTGGTTTCCGTGCTCGGCGGCTCAGAGCCCGGCGAGCTGGTAAGCGAGGTGCAAGCCCTACAGAGGCCAGGTCTACCCTACGATATTCCTGGGTTGAATCAGGCTCCAGCCAAACTGCCCATCCTCAGAGATGCTGGACAGAGCCGTAGCTTTACCGTCACAATCGAGGCGCGATTCTCTTTTTTGGTGCTAAGCTGCCTTGCTTTGGTCCAAGCAGAAGCAGCCCTCTTGAAAAATGCTTGGCTCTCTTTCACCTCAAGCACCGGCAAGCAACGGCAGGCCACGCGAGAGGCTGGCCTCGTCCTGGATGATCTGGACCCTCGAGGTGGCGGCGGGCATGCATGAGCAAATGTGCATTGACTTGTGACTTCATCTTTATTGTGTTGTTTCTTCATGATCTGGTGCAGCCAAGGTCCGGTTATCGCAAGCATCCCAGAAGGGGCTGTGCGTGACTTTAATGTTCGATCACCAGACTCTGCAATTCGACCAAATGAAGCTTGTCTCGTCTGGAGATGGAGAAGTCCACTGTAAGATTGTTTTAGCGGACAGCTCAACCGAGTGCGATTGGAGCAATGGTGTCTGCAGCTAAGGACCTCATCATGTCCGTTAATGGAACTGAGGGAGATGCAGCTCGCAGCTGATTAGCGAAGCATGCAGTCATCACATGTTCAGTCATTGGTCAAACCTCCAGTGGCCGCGAACTTCCCAGAGGTAATGACACAAAGTGCATCAGCGTGTCATTACCTCTGGGAAGTTAGCGGCTACAGGAGCGGCAAGCAGAGGTGTTCGGGGTGGGGAAGGCCTTGGCCACTAGAAAAAGGTGCGGAAGGGAGGGGTGCGGGAATGTGCCAACAGCGTCTAGACCGAGAGCCGTAGACTTTGCAGCTAACGGGGTAGAGCTAAGACCAGGTGAAAGCCATCATCCAGATGCTGCAATCATTGGACAAAGTGCCGATGAATCTGAAGATCTTGCGTCCTCAGGAGCTGTGCGCTTGTTTCTTTGTGCGGCATGAGGCGCGGCCATGGAACCGCACGTCAGGAGTTGAAGCTCTCCATGCGCAAGAAGCCGAACATACCCTTGGGCCTGCAGATGAACTTCACCTCGTTCTCCGCAGGGTAGCTCTGCTGACATGGATGCATTAGGAGTTCACAGATTCTTCAGCACTGCTGGGAGCCTGCGGCACGTCCTGCAGCCCTCTTGATTGGATGCCCTGAGTTGCAGCTGTAATGAGACCTGGAGCCCAGACCCAGACTCTGCCAACTCTTTCTCGGGTGTGGCAGGGTGGTTGTCGACATGATCGCCGAGTCAGGATATTTGCAGCACAACGCCTTTTACTACATGCTGCTGTGGTTGGCAGCAGCAGCTGTATTGTGCAAGATAGTTGTAGGGCCTGGCGGCTTGGGTACAGGAGCCGCGCACGCATGGAACCAAGCGCAGACAGAGGTCGGGAGCGCTGAAAGCACGGGCACAAGATGAGTGTGTATATTGGCAGGCGAAGAGGCTGCGAAGTGGCGACCGCCTTGTGGCAGTGGACGGCGTGTTCTTGAAAGGCAGCGGAGCTCTTTAGCCGTTAGCCCTTCAGCTGCCTGGATGTTGTGCTGGCAAGGTGAGGAGATGATCGAAGTCCTCAAGAAGAAGAGGGATCAGGATCTCCAGGGTTATGACTTCCAGCTTCGAACCTGTGGCAATATCGCACGTTTTTGACACGTGGCACGTTGTTGGTTGCTGTCATCATAACAGCAACCTCATAATAATCATGATGTTCTTGCTGCTGGTCTCCTTCAGTGGGAAAGCCAGTTAAGTTGTCTTCGATGGTTTTGAAAAATCTACCTGCAGAGCCGTCTGTCGGCTCGAGAGTCAAAGTTCGGGCGCGGGTGGCTTGGCGCCATGGCGCACAAGTCCAACCCCTACAAGAAGGCAGGGCACCATAGGCAGCATATTCACGTTGTGAGACGGCGCTGTGAATGCATGTGTTTCTTGCCGCAACCTGCGCCAGGCTCGCTCGAAGTTCCGCTGGAAGTGGAAGAAGAAGCGAACGCGCCGATTGCAGAAGAAGCGCCGAAAGATGCGCCAGCGCTCGAAGTGAGAAGGCTTTAGCTGTTGCTGTAGCTGATCAAAGACGTTTAGACTTTTGTTTGCAAGGATAGCAAGCCTCGTTGGCCTTGTGGAGGTAAGCAGCGTGAGCAGAAGAGGATCTCAACGAGCAAGATGGCACCAGAGGCAAGATGAGTAGTATTTGACTTGCAGATACTATGGTACCCAAAAGTACCC